GTCATCGACACTGCCTCACATTTGAAATTTCAAAACGCGTTCAAATGACCTCTGAAAACTTAATGTTGAAATCGTATTACAGTATACAGTTCATACGTTTTGAGTAGAGAGCAAAATGTCGTGGACCTCTGTATTGAAAAAGTCAAACGAGAGGCCGATAGGAATGACGCCAATATCATGTTTACACCTCTATTCGGTCTGTTTAATTAATCTTTGATTGTAAATTTTGAATCAGGTGAAAGCTTAACATGACAGCTTGGCCGAGCGGTTAAGGCGATAGACTAGAAATCTATTGGGGTCACCCGCGTGAGTTCAAATCTCACAGCAGTCGGTCCACTTTCATGTCGTCGCGATGGTTTTTCGTCACACGACATGGTCGGAAATCACTTTGCGCTCGTTGGAGAGATGAGGACGATCCCTACAGTGCTTTAACAAGTGCGTGTGTTTTCTTGGACGTGACGAGGAAAGGAAGAGAGTATATTCATTGAGTTGAAATAGCCCGATCAAAAACACCACCGCATGCAGTCACGTTGTGGACGAATCCCGCACGAAACGTCGCTAGTGTGGTTGACAGGAATATTTGGACATGGAAGCCAAATATATAATCTTCGTGGTTGGTCGCGTGGGGATGCGTTGGTGCGATCGTGGGTTTGGAGGTGCGACTCCCAACTTGTTGGCTTGCACGGCAGCGCAAGGCAAAGGTCGCGGCGAGGAGCAGGTCAGCAGCAGAGAGATTTGCGCAGAAGGTAAATCGTTGAATTGTGGCCGCGTGGCTCCCTCTCTGATGTCGCCTTCTAGAAGATGCCATGATGCCAACACTCTTTGTTCTCGAAAATGCATATTTCTCTGTACGTTGCCATCCGCCAGGCCAAGGTTACATGCAGTATTTGTCGAGTTTCTAGAAAGAGTACCTTGAAAGGTTAGATTATGATGGCGGCGACGTTCAAGAAGCCCGAGTAGATGGATAAGGAAATCCATGACAGGCTAACACGAATTGTGACTGTCGGGAGGTTTGAAGATGGAAGAGAGAGGGGGGTCGACCAGCTGGACTGAGCGTCGTGGAATGAGGAGCAGCGTGGAGTATATAAACCACCTGGATTCAACGGTGCATTCGTCTGTCCTTCTGCCTAAGTAAGCTATCTACGGGCGACCCCGCCCACGACCGCGCCCACGGCCACCACGACCTCTGCCTTTCGCTGCGGCGGCACTGCCGGCCGCGGCGGATCCCGCTTTGACCTTTTGTTTTGGACTGTCGTCGATGAGCAACGTGTCCAAGTTGAGCGAGTCTGGCAGAATGTAATATCGGATGTTGTTGCCACGGATGCTCAGCGAGTCCAAGGACGTTGGGTTTTTACCCTTGACGGTCATCTTGACCACTTTCAAATGCGTGTTCATGCTGATGTCCACGCCGCTGATCGTGCCGTGCACGACCGTTCCGTTTTTCAGTTCAATGGTCACAGTCTCGTTCGTCAACTTCATCAGGAACCTACAGCCACAACATAAACACCCATGAGGTCTCACTCATCTGCGTGCATGCCACGGCGGCATCCTTACCGGACGAGCTTCATCGTAGCACCCGTGCACCACTGAAAATGCAGAACGCCCCCCCTTTTGAACAAGGCCCACCGCAAGTTCTTGTATCGAGGTATGGATCACGAAACGACCGGATAACCACTTGTGCTTGTACCAAGGGCCGTCGTCAAATTGGCGAATTATCCGGATAACGCTGCGCATGGTAGCCAATTGTTTGAAAGTCCAAGACCTCGAAGCAGGATGGGCCGCGCTCGCAAGGTCATTCACGACGTGATCGCGCACACACGAGGCCTGGTGCGCAACAGAGGCATTGAAGACCCTGGCTGGCTTGAATGTGTTGCCCGGTACCCGCCTCCCCCCATGCCGCACGTGGACCGTGAAAAGATCCCGAAGATCCGCTTTCCCCAAGATCGACTGGCCGAGCTGTACGCGGCGAAGAGCGGCTTCGCCACGGACGACGAAACCGCGTACGAATTTGCCGACGAACAATTGACGTTGATCGAGATGGGCATCCCGGAGAAGGAAGCGTACGCGACGCTCGCGAAGAAGTACGAGAAAGTCGAGGCCGAGCGATTTTTGCAGAATTTTTACCAAATGCGCGGCCAACCGTTCATCCCGAGCACCAAGCCCGAAGAAATGGCGAAGCGGTGGGAAGAAGACGAAGCAGCGGCGATCAAGGAAGGTATGCGCATGGAATTCGAAGACAACCAGGAACTCCATTCGGACGATTGGGTCATTCGCAAGTAGATAGGCGCACAATAGGCGAGGAAATGTGGTATGTCGACATGGGTACCCACGTCACTGCGGCTACATACACACTAGTACTTTTGCTTTGGACTGCTTTGCGGGACACGAGTGTCGCAGCCACTGTACATGCGCATCGTCCGTGCGATTCCATGTTGCTCTGGCAACAAACCACGCGGTCACAAAGAATACTCCAAGGTCTCAGCCAAGCCAGCTCGATTTCCCAAACGAACAAGAACATCGCTGTAAGAATTCCTGAACCGACACTGCACTCGCCGGGACTTCCCGACTCGCATTCCTTGTCACACGAAATGTTCTGTGGCCAGCAACAGCATGCATCGCATCAACGAGACCCCCAAGTGGCTGGCTAAGAAGTCTACCATGTCCTTGCTGTGTCAATGGAGCTGCGATGTCGTCGAGTTGAAGGACATCGACATGGCCGCGGCGTCACGGCCTGCGTGATTTGTTTGTGCCAGTGCATTCATTCGGCAAGTCGGCGATCGTACGGATACATATCCGGATAAACACCCAGCTACGATGAATTTGACGCGAGGCAGCATGGAAGAGGTAAGGACGCATGACCTGCATATGTGCGTGAGCTCACGCCCTCGATAGAAGCTACATGCACTGTTAGACAGGTAATATGTGCGTAAAACTCTGCATGCCACCGTGATTGTACACTCCACCCCCCCCTTCCTCAGATATGAAGACCTGGCGGCCATCTTGGTGTCAACGTCGGAGGGCGTACCGTTGCTGAAAGGTACGTGCGTCAAAAGAGACACCAGAGTTCGACTGTGTGCCGAGAGCACGACTTATGGAAATGATGTTGTGCAGTGGAGCATGAAGAGAACCCTTCGGACAAGGACGACGGGTCCACGTTCGAATACGCGGAAACAGTGTTGCCAAGTGTGTTTGCGGCTGCCGCCGAACAAGTACGTCGTGGTGCGGCCCATCTCTTCCAACATTCAATGTCGTTGCAGGCTGGCAAGTTGAAATTTGGAAGCGTGTCAGCCATCACGTGCTTCTTTGACTCGACGGCATTGCTTCACATCAACCACATGCCACTCGTGATCACCCTCATCGCGGCTCAAGGCGCATCCCTTGGCGCGTTGTTCGACCTGGCGGACGACTTGAAAGAATGGCTCACGCCTTTGAAGAAGGTGGTTGAAACCACGGAAGCCAACTGATCGTCCTGAACCATCCAGGACTGACACTCGACAGCAAAAATCTACTCTAGAGCAGAAGTAAGTCGACAAACAACATGACAAAACGGCACAAGCGTGAAATGCACAGCGCACGTCAACGCACATTCTGCATTGTTCGCGACGAAGCCATCGCAGATGCAACTGCCTTTCAATAGAGTCGGACGGCAGGACTCGTCGAATGCAAGGGTGCACAGGATAGCCCCCCTTTCCACAGCACGCTCAGTGGAATGGCGTGATGTCCAAAGAGATTGGTGTGCACTGCATGTACGAACCAAGACGGCGCTGCCACTGCGTGCATCCGACCACCAGCGCCGATCGCATCGCAAGTCTGTCGCCCGATGTTTCGAGTACACAACACAGTGTGAATCATCAATATATACATTGTCTTTGCCACGCGTGGCCAGCGCGCTGTCGACGCTCCCTCGGCTGTCACACATACTTGTCGACCGTGGCGAGTTTGGCATGGAGATGGTGGAGACCGCCGTCGGTCGGTTTGTAGCTGCCCATCTTGAAAAGGTTTTCATCGTTCGATTTGGACTTGACCAGGCGCGGGACAGTCGGGCTCGTTGGCGTCTTGAGCGACGCCGACGTAGGGGAGAGCGGCGCGGACTCGGCATGCGGCAGTTTGTGATATGCTCCTTTGGACGACCCCGACGGCTGGCGCTTGGATGCATCGTAGCTCGTCCGCAACCCGAGCTTTACGCACTGCCACTCGACCCGAAACAAGTTCCACATGCAACGACGGCACACTTCGGCGACTTGAGCGACCATCTTGAAATCGGCGCCAACGACATCGGCCCAGTGCCAGTTGGACGTTACCCACAGCACGCGCAGCATCGCGTCGACCGCAAGCGCGACGAAATACACGTGTTGGGGGTGATACAGCAGCGTGTGGCGAAGGTACGCATGGTCATTGGGCTCGGAAGCATTCCACAGCGGCGGCGACGAGAACGTGCCTGGATGGCCGTCGTTGGTATCGCTGTCGGCCGGGTCGTGACCCGGCACGGGGGGTTGGCCCAGTCCCCAGTCCATCACGACATCCCAGAACAGCGAGTAGAGCGAGTTGCAGCACGCACACAGGAGGAAGAGCGTGTCCGTGTCGAGAAGGCGCTGGTCCGACATGGACGACGGCGCGAGCAGCATCGGCAGCGCCCCCACGAGAATCACACACAGCCCCGTGCCGTACTTGAACGTGTTGAGTACATGCAGAAATTTGTCGTTGACGACCGCGGCGCGATGGTACGAAATGAGGCACTGCACCCCACGTATCCTGCATGGGGCGTTAGAATCTCCATATCGGCATTGACAAATCACTTGCACACAAGCTCATGCCATGACAGAATAATCCATACCGGGAAGGACATATCCAACACGAAGACACTGCCACATCGGGTTCAGATGCATGAGTGCATGATGTCGACGCCTTACATGTACGGGCTCGCGGTCGCGACACACGGGAGCAAATGATGTTTCATCTTGCTCTGGTACATGTCGTCGTGGATGCCGCGAACAGATTGGTACATCATGAGCAAAGCCACAGCGATGTCGCCGAAGATCTTGGACATCGACGTGAGCCCGTCAGCAATGTACACTTCAACGAACGGGGTTTCGGTCTCAGCGAACACGAGGCCACCGCTGGTGACCCAGGTCAAGGGAAACACGCAGCGACGAAGCGTGCGGCCGAGGAATCGACGGAACTTGAGATGCAGAACGTCGAATGGAAGGGTCAACAGTACCAGAACCACGACGCAGTACACGACAAGGACGAGTTCATGGCATCGCCCAATCAATGCCACTGTATGCAGCTTGAACACGTAGTACAACGCCCCGAGGAGCGTCGTGAGAAACGCGACGAACGTGATGAGTCCGCGCGGCGTCGGGATTTCGTCAGGATGCATGCCAAACACCTTCTCGAGCGGGAATCCCATGGACCGAAAGATCACGAGGTTGAGCGCACCTCCTGCGATGAAGATGTTGATGGCCAGGGGGCCACCGAAGAAGTACGAGACGTCGCTTGGCATCGGGCTCCCTTCGCGGCGGTGCGAGCGGCGGCTCTGCCGCTAAGTCGGTGCAAATATGGTTGGCACGTTCTCATTGGGCCGTGGTGGAGCCCTCGGATATTACATACGTATTAAATTGTACAGTTTCGTCATTATCGCGTCACAACTTCCTTGGTCACGTCATGCAAGCAAACCCGCTACCATCCATCGCGTTCACACTGTCAGCTACATCCGTGGCGCCCAATGGATCGACCGTGCAAAGCACTGCGTTGCACAGCCCAACGCGAAACAGGAGGATGGAGCATCTCAAATGCCGTCGACCCTGGAATGTGGATTTGACGAAGGGGGTGATCTCCAGCGAGGATGCGTTTGGCACGCGAGCTCGGCATGGCATTCGTCTGGCCGACGGGGAAGGGGTTGCAGCCATGTTAAGCAACGCCGTTGGTCCATTCCTGGTCGAAGGACTGAAAATGAAGAGCTTCACGTGTCAAGGATGCACACATGGTGATGTGCACGGTGCCCTCCTGCGCAGGTGAATACCTTCAACGCTTTCACGTGTCTAAGCTGTCATGCATTGTCTACGAAATGTCGTGCACGTCGCTGCTGGCGCTCGTGGCGGCCACCGCGTGCGTTTTTCGACGCGCTACGTACCAATCGCCTCAGTGACACCTGCAGTTCTTGAAGTGGCTGCGTGCAAGCAAGCCGACAAGTCATCCGCCATGGCTGTTGCATTGTTGCTCTTGTCTAAACCACATGCCACTTGAGGACGTCTCAGCTTATCAAGCATGCCAAAGTGACACGATGTTGTGTGCACGTGTAGGAAACAATGAAAAGTGGGAACGCTGCGAGGTTTCCTCGCCTTGCTTGAACGTCGGTGCTACGTTGTTTGAGTCAAGTGCCCATCCATGTGCATGACGACGTCACCCCAAACGGAATCTCCTGCCAAACGATCGTCGAGCAGATTGAACACCTCGTCATGGTGCTTTGCGGGACAGCCCAAGCACGCATCTCCCGCAGCGCGAGAAAACGCTCTCTCCTGTCCGAGGCGACCATTATTTGACCGATGACGTTTTTTGACATTAGTATTAACACCATATCCACTCGACAAATTGTCCACATACACTCTTGGCCGGGTGTTTGAAACCACGTTAAAAATGAAACGCACACACGGGGTGCGTCGACGACAGAGCAAGTACAAACCACACCTGCTGCTTGCGTGGAGTAAGAAAATGGCGTGGGGGTAGTGCAAACACGTGAAAGAGCATTTTTCGGTCATAGGTAGTAGTCCATGCCGTCGACACTTCCGTTCGTACTAGCGTCGTTGTGTTTGTGCCGCGCGAACTCGACGTTGGCAGCGTTTATTGGTAGATGTGGCGGTGATCAAGCATCATGAAAAATCGGTGAAATTCTTCCATTGAAAAATCGGTGAAATTCTTCCATTGGTGGAAAAATCACGCCGATATCGATTGATGGGGCAATTTGCGGTTACACCACCTCGGCATATGCTTCAGGGGTGAAGACAAAACCACACGGCGACACGGCACCATCCGATGGCCACTGACAATGCTGAATCTGCACCGGGCTCTGCTTGCAAAGCTTGGAAAAAACAACGGCGTGCACCGGCAGCACCCTTCCACGCGCGCATCCTCGTCTGGCATGTCATGGCCGTGCGTTACTTCCAACGCGTTCGTGCACTCCTCTGGTCGTCGACCCCTCAACTGCACTTAAAGGTCCGACGACGCATTACACATCAACGTCAGTGCCGTCCAACCTCCTGCCCAGATCACTGCCCAGCGCCGTCACTTTTATCGTGCCCCGTTCGCCCTGCGCTGGCAAGCACCCTCGTGAGTCGCCCCTCGCCAGTATGCAACCACGGAGGACATTTGCCAACATACAAACCCCCATACAAAAACCCCAGCTTCAAATAAATACGATACAATATTATTAAGTCCTACACGCGCGGTCCATCGTCGGACGTTGTCTTGTGCAGCTTCGGCATCATGCCCCCGCACACGGCCGCATCGATGATGCTCTGTACACCACGGGCACTGATAAAGTTGTCTTCGAGGCCGAGGAATCGGAGCTGGGGGCACAGCGAGCTCGACAGTAACGCGACAACGGGCGCGACGCTGTTGTCAGTGATGATGTTGCCTCCCATACACAAGTACTTGAGCTTGGTACATGCGCCGGCCCGCAGCGCTTGCATGATGCGCTTCAGCCCCGCCTCGCCAATGAAGTTGCGGCGCAGATCCAGCCGGGCCAGGTTGGGCAGCGCTCCTGCTTGGCGCAATAGCGCAGCCACGTCGATGGTTCCGCTATCCGAAAAGCTGTTGCCACCAAGGAGCAAGTCCTCCAAACCGGCGCAACCGCCTCGTTGCAGCGCGGCACACAGCGCATGGATTGCATTGCGACGGCATGTGTTCGTAAACGCAGACACCAAACACAAGCGCCGCAGTTTCGCACCAGCGCCGTGGGAAATGGCCTCGGCGACCTGAAGCATGACACATTCACCGTCGTTCGGGTGGGAAATGTCGAGCTCACTGCACCCCCACGCGTGCAATGCCACCTGGCTCTCCATGTCACGTGCGTTGTCGGTGGTCGCGTGCTTCTTGGCATCGTTGTACACGTCGAGCGCTTCCAAGTTTACCAACTGTGTCAGAAACTGAGTCGACTGCAACTTAAATGCGAGTGCAAGGGTGTTCACGCTCAAGCTAAGGGCGAGTACGCACGACGGCAGCAGTGCATGGGCCTTCTTTGACACGGCCGTGTGCCGCATGACATCCTTTCCATCGAGAAACCCGTAAATATGTCGCACAAGGTCTTCGTTGTGCAATAGAAACACCGACGACGACGCCGCTCGCTCATTGTCATACTTGCGCCTGACGTTGCGGGCGGCGCTTGCGTCAAGTTCATCCACCCGCAGACTTGCTGCTTCGTGATAGCTCAACGAAACGAGACTTTGCAACCGTCGGCGCAATGTGTTGAGGTCCTTGTACTCTTCGAAGCTGGCGGCGCGGCTGTACAAATTCAGTTCGATCCGTTTGGCAAGCGAAGGGGTTTTTTCGTCCCACGTGTCGTCGATGCCGAGCATGACACGGCGTTTGTGGCGCCTCGTCATGGCAATGATTCGTTGCACCATGAGCCGTCGCTCGGGGAGGTCGTTTGGGGACTGCCACTGCACAAGGTCAACCGTGTACCGATCGGATGCAGTCGCGGCTACGGCACCCCACACAGCCGAAGCCCCTGTAGACGCGACAGACGCGTCTTTGCCCACGGTTGCTCCTGACAATGGTGGCGTCAGCGGCAGCATCACTGCCGCCGTGGTCGTCGAGTTGAACGCGCCATGCTCCATCGTCGTGTGCCACAGTCGGGGCGAGTTTCGAAATGCAGAAACCCTCGAATGAACCCACCACTTCTGCAACTGATTCGCCTTTTTTGGTCCTTTTCTCGTCGGCCGTGGTGTCGCGTTTTATTCGGTTGACTTGATGTTTGAATGGACCGAGGCTTTTTTCGGATAAAAACCGCACCATGCGAAAAAAACGGTCTCGGCACTCCGCGGAACCTTCTGTCTTTGGCGACGCCACAGCTCCAACGTTCTATAAAAAAACGCGCTAAACCCACCTCGACTCCGAATCGCTTTTTTCGAATATTCGGATTCGAAATACTCGCAACGTTATTCCAGGATATTTTGGAACGATCCCAACAATGCGCCGGCACCTGCGTGCGAGGCTGGCACGCATTGCCTGGATGCGCGCTCGTGGGACACACGGAACGAACGGCGTGGACGACCGTTTGACTTGGGTCGACCATCGCGTTGGCGGTGGTTTGTTGTTGTCGTCGCGCCGACATGCGGCATTTTCTGTCGTGCGTCAAAGCATCCACGACTCGTTCGACACGATTGAGATCGTGCTGTCCGACACTGTGTGCTGCTTGAGCCATGCCGAAAGCGCTGCGATTGCTTCCTTGTCACTACGGGCAGCCACGTCTTGGTTGGTGCCAGTTGTGTCGTCGGTCGCCCCGAGGTCTCTCCACATGATCGTGCCTTCTTGAGAAGAGCTGCAACGACGGCACGTCCCCACGGTCGACGCGTAAATGTGCGACAGAGCGGCTTGGATGCAAGTGAGGTAGTACACTGCAGCAACACGTTGGAAGAGCGTCCTAGGAACTGTGAATAGCGACGTACCGACTTCGGCACCATCGTGAACGTAGGCCGATGAAAACGTTGCGGCTGCATGGAGTCGGCGGTAGATTGTGGGGAGGACATCGAGTTGCATCCACAGGACATGCAGCAGCAGTGGAATAAGAACATCTGCGTTGACGGTTGGGATGCACGGCGCTACTTCGTCATGGAGACTGCGAATCGCCACCATCATCATGGAGAGGATGCCAAGGGGAGTAGTTTCGGCACACATGCACGTAAGAGCCTCAAGAGTTCGTGGGATGCGTTCGACGGTCGAGTGTTCGTCGTTCGACTTGGAGCAGTTGCTGAGCAACGGCGGCAGCATCGGTCGATCGCACTCGTCTAGAAGATGCATGTGGCAGAAGTGAGCATACATTGCTGTGTTTTCGTAGGCTGACACGAGCGGTTCGATGGTCGCAAACACGGCGTGATGCACAGCGATGCGCAGGATCTGTCGGAGACGCTGGCTTTCATCGCTGTCCATTGTTTCGACCATGATGTCGAGGGCGACGCGGCGGACCAAAACCGACTCAAACGCGGCAATTGCACGGGGAGCCGGCAAGCGAGTTGTGTCGATAGCCACGACTGCGGAGCTTGGAGACGACAGAGCTTCCTTGGGTTGAAAGATACAGGACGGCGGAATGAGCGAAGGGCATGCAGACATATTTGATACAGAGGGTAACGCAGACGGTGACGTTTCTTGGACGACGATGCGCTCAATGTCTTGGCGGAGCTTGGCACGCCACCGATGGAGCAGCCTCCCCGTGGACGATTGAGTCGTCGACAACGCGCGGCGAAAGGCTTCAAGGTGGCGCGAGAACGCAGCGTGTTCGTCTGGAGATGCGAAACTTTGTAGCGGCAGAGCTTCGTAAGGATGGGAATCAATCGCAGGATAAGTGTCGGCCATTTCGCGCAGTTGATCCAGCAAGGCGTTGCCGGACGAAGGCGTGAGTGACGGAGCCAACAGCGGAGCTGGCGACCGTTGTATTGCGTCCTTGGCGATAGCGAGGACAGAGTCCATGTGCCGTTGCCGTGAGTGAAGCATTACGTACTCGGGATGTGCTGCGATGAGCTCGTTTGGAGGTAAGAAGAACAAGTCGTCGGCAACGTCGTCAGTCGAATGTGACGAAGACGCCAACTCCGTTAAAGCATCACATTCGCCGCAGCGAGTGTTCAGGATTTGTACTACACACTCTTCCACGCTGATGGCGAGGCGCAGGTCTTGGATCATGAGATTGTAAAGAAACCGATGTTGCTCGACGACTTGACGAGATGTGCCGTGACACGCGAGCTTGCGAACGCGAATAGCCCTCTCTTTCTCGGCGCGCAATAGATCTATAGCGTACTGTTGTTTTCGCACGGTGTGTTCGACTAACGTCGCCAACAGCGCAGCTTTGTACTGGCTGAGCCTTGCAATTACATCGACAATCGGTGTGTTGTCACCGCCGTAGGGCGACAAGACCACGCTCTTCACACGAGTCAGCAGACGGGTAGTCCAGGAAGACGGCCTTTCATCCAAGATTCCATCGTTGAGCGGATTCGCTTGGTTGCCGTCGTCGACGTCCGCGCTCGTGTTTTCGGCGGCAGCAGGACTCGATGGCATGTCGTGTTCTCAGCTTTGGTGCATTGCGATCTTGGTATCCGGACAACATCACGACACAGGCCAATTGTATTGGGATTTGCAAGGATATCCGGATAGCAGGTGTGCCACAACATTTGGCGAGAAGTTCGACACCTGCCGAGCGGTCGATGTTTGCCTGCACACGAGCAGGACCGAAGCAATCACGCCTTTGAGTGCACAATGTGGGTGGTATGCTGTGGCTTAGCACCCAGGCAGGGCGTGGAGCGAATTCAGCAACAAGCACTACCATAGCCCCATCTGTTCGTCAAGACATGGAGTGGAATGGATGGCGTCGAATGGAGCACCACCAAGTTCACAAGCATGTGCTCGAGTAGGTGAAGTCTTCGGAAATTGAGCGGAGGCTAACTGTCCGACATACTCGATGGATCCCAACGGTGATGCATGATGCGACTAACAGTAAATACGCCCGCCATCCTTCACTTGGCCACGGTAACTCCTGCCATGTACGTTGCTTTCGCCATGGAACGACAACGTACGCAATACTTTCACCGCCTTGCATTGCTACCAAAGATGAGCTGCCAGAGATAGCCATGGGTGGAAGGGAGGGATTTCGCGGTGTCTTGACGGCGCAGCCACGGACACTCTCGATCCTTTGCGTCCAAGTACAAGTCAAAAAGTTCGTACATCAGCGGCGACGACTTGCGCTTTGTGCGCCACTTGTTGTTGGGTGGACGTTCGACCTCCCACGGCTTTCCATACTTGCCGTTGGGCAAGGACGAGTAGTGGTGCGCGTACGTATTTGCAATGCGGTCGCTCGCGTTGGCGAATCCAAGGAGATTCGAGTCGGGGGCGAGAAGGTCCGCGTTGAGCACGACGTAGTGCGGCGGCAGGAACGTAACGGGATGCCACACGTCATTCAGGACGTCCATGTCGTAATAGTCCGGGCGAGTGGATGCGGCCACTGCCTGCGAGAGCTGACGGAAGCGAGCGTTGCTGGGTGTGAACACGAGCAAAGTCGACGCAAAGAACGGCTGAGGAGAAATGTAGTATGCCCGAGGCGCCCAAAGCATGGAGTCGCTCGCACCACGACCGCCTTCACCTTGCACGTGGAGCGGACGGAGTTGAGCAAGTCTGTCATCGTATGGAGCTTTGTGCAGTGTTTCGTCGACTGATGCCGAGTCGTCGCTACTTGTCAGCGCAAACAAATGATCCAAGTTACGATGGAGCCACATGTCCGAGTCCAAGTACACGACGCGGTCGTACCCACGTTCCTCGAAGATGCGAAGCTTCGTGAGGGATTCGCGCCAAATGCTGGACTCCCCGCGCATCGACTGCGATATCCATGGCTCTACAAACGTCATCTTGGTGTGGGTGGCCTCCACGGTTGCTGTCCACGCGTGCTGCTGAGTCTCAAGCGCGGCGGATATCAAAATCACAATTGGAATTGAGGGAGGTGTCCCCAAACGACGTATGTTTCGCGCCATGATCAGAGCGTTGCACATCGTGAGCTCGGTCGTGGCGTACAACATGTAGGCAAATCGGTTGCCGTCGGGGTGTGCTGCAACCGAGGAATTCGTCAACGTGCGGGACGTAGTGCTAGGAACCCCTGCGTAAGCGAGGAAGATCACACTACACAGTGCCAGCGTAACGATGCTAGCGAATACAGCTTGAAGCGTTAACCGTGCGATCGAGGCACCATGCCGCCGCCGCCGCCAAGATTTGTTGTGCATGGCCTAGTCGTGGTGATATATCGCAGGTGGCTTGGTGTGGCACGGCGCTTTTGCAATTGAATTTCGTATTTTGTACAAAACCCCACTTGAAAACCAATCGACCACAAAATTCAATTTGATTGGCTGAAAATTCAGAATGTATGCACCTCCTAAAATCATGAAAATCTAATCCTTTGAACTTTGCCAATCATATTTATCATTCATTTCCATCAGCCAATCAAATGGCTTCCATTTTATACAAATAATACAAATACTGTACAATTGCAGTCTCAATTGCTGCGGCCTGAACAGAGCAAAGCCATCGCTCGCGACTGGATCGCACATGACGGGTGTGCTGAACTCCCGCTGGTGGAGATGAAATCGAAGATGGACGAGGTCCCGCTTGGAAGAGCCGAGTGCAATTTGCCCTCCTGCGGCGCGGAATGGCTCGATTGATCGGACAGGAGTGCATGGACACACAATGCACGAGCAGGTTTTCCTTCACAAACACCATCAAGTGTTTCATGTCTCCCGCCGAACAATGCAGAAATTACGTGTTATGCTGGAGTAACCAGAGGCCCCAATGCACGGCAAAGTCTCCGTACGCCTTGACCGAGTCCAGGGGATGGCAGTCGTCGGGGTACCACTGCACACGGACCGTGCGCCCATGGTGCTGCAGGCTGTGGAAGAATTGGATCCCTTGTGTCGGCGGGACGCGGCGATCCTTTCCACCAAGGCCGAGCAGCACCGGCGTTTGGATTGCCGCGAGGTCGTTCGCCATGGGACTGAGTTCCCACATCCGTGCCAATGTTGCGCTGCGCGGCGGGCCATGGGACGACGCAACGGCCGACCTGGTCGCAATCGAGTCAAAAGCAGCCACCCCCGTGACTGCACACCCCCAGTCCGGGATGTCGCTTGTGAAAAACAAGCTCGAGATGTTCACGACAGGGTTCCGCAGGACCGCCGACCTGTAAAAAGACGGGAACTGCCCGATGAGGTGCGCGACGAGAAAGCCGCCGTGGCTCCCGCCAGACACATGCACACGTGTTGCATCGAGTCGTCCTGCGTATTTGGCCAGCACGTGGAGCACAGCATGATGGCAGTCGATGACATCTTGCGAGCCGACTTTTCCGACCAACGATTCCAGCGGCGCACGGCCATACCCAACACTTCCACGGTAATTTACCTAAATCGTTTTCGTCAGCGATGGTCCATGCGCATGTCGTACCGCGACGACGGCAAACCCGAGCGCGCAAAAGTACGCATACGACGCGCGGAACGTCGCGGGGGAGTGGCCGTGCGGCCCGCCGTGCAGGTCGACGACAACAGGAATGCCGTTGGCGGACGGCACCGACGCCCCAGGGGACGCCAGCGATGCACGGCTTGGCCACAACACGAGGGCGTCGTACGGAGATTCGCTCGAGACCTGCGGTAGCAGTGGGGCCGCTGCTTGCGCCGCCACGGACAGCACTCGACTCGCGATGGAGGTTGGAGCGATGGGCTCGATGGACCACGATTCGACAAATGGACAACGCCCTTGCGTGTAGACAGGTGTGCGGGACACGACGTGCGCACCGTGCTGGAGATTCACCCATTGAATCCCGACCGGCGTTTGCGGCGTGCTCACGGCCACGAGCGCGTGATTTGCATAGATGTCGACCAGCACTTCCGACCCAGTGCCTTCATCGCCTAGCGCATACTCGGGGGACTGAACCGCGCCAGTCGCGACTTCGATCGCCTTCCACACCACCCGCGTGCCCACTTCCGTGTTGACGTAGATGTGGGTCGAGTCATGGGACCAAGCGTGCGGCAGCAGCGACAGCATGTACAAACCACGAAAGGTCGAGTCCGATGGCTCGTCCACAATTGGGACGACGACGCGCTCTTCCTTGGTAGTCCAGTCGAATACACCTAGCAGGTTGCACGTGTTGTGGGTTACGACGTCTGCCGTGCCGAGGAAAGCAATCTTGGTTCCGTCCGGACTGACGCGAGGCGAACGGGTGTTGGCGGCAAGTCGAAGCGGCAACTTGATGGCCTTGCCATCCGATGCCACGTCCAGCGAGTACAGGGCTTTGGGGCGGTTGAAGCAGTAGATGAGTCCGAGGCGGCGGCTCGTCGTGTCGATTGCAGTGAACACGATCGAGTTGGTGCGGGGCACGACTGCGACTTCGCTGCAGGCCAAGGACGATGGGATTCCTTGTACCTCGGCACACTGGCCGCTTTGGACGACCATGGTGAAGACTCGGGACGTGCGCTTGCCAACGTATTGCTCTCCCCAATCTTCTTTATAGTCAAACTGATGCCCGACGACCGACGAAGAGTCCTTTGAAGCGTCGGCGGCAGCATTCGCGGGGCTCCAGAAAGGTTTTCCGTCGGCGTCCTTTTGCTCGGCGATGTAGTACACAAACGTCTCGTCTTCGGACCAGCAAACACCGCCTTCGGACACACCCAAGTACAACCCGCCATGCAGCTCCTTCGGTGTGCGATGGACGTGGAGTAAACGCTGTTGCGAGTAAAACGCAAACTGCGCCGATGCGTTGTCATCGGGAACGTCCGTGATCACGACCGACCGCATGCTTGACGGGGAGTAGCTCACGTACTGCGGCGTAATACTCGTGGGCAGCCCGGACACGATCGCGTTGTTGGACAAAACGTGTTGCGTCGACGTCAAGTGGATGGTGCTGTTGACAAGATCACGGTCTTTCCACACAAGAGAGGCATGGAGAACAGCGCTACCATCCTTCTTATCCGTTGAAGGCACGATGTGACCACTGGAAAACGTGCGTTGGCTGCCTTCAACGGCATGAAGGAGTGACGCAGCTGCCGCCGCTGCAGTCGGCGCGGTCGTCATGTTGTGGTCCGGAAAATGTATCCATGTTGAAGTCGGTACGGACGAATTTGCCCCATCACGGGCGTTTTATCCGGGAATGTGGGGAGGAGCTTGAGGGGTTGGGATTTAGTAGCACTATACTATTAGTAATCCAAAGGCAACAAAAGCGAGCAGGGAACATCTTTTTTCAATCTATTGTTGCGTCAGTTCAAAACTTCAACGAAAATATTTCTGACGCAGAACAATTGACGCAACAAATTGCACATACATATTCCAAGTGACTGGATTCAAGGCGTTCTTCACGCGTTTACAAAACATCGCAAGCGTCCACCACACTGTTGGCTTGCATCCATGAATAGCTCACACGAAAGTGTAGGCACAATG